TGAAGCTAAACCCCAGATTCAGACCTTGCTGCTTTTATTCAGTGTTATTCACCATTATTTGTATCCTTGAGGTCTAACAAACATGTCAAATGTATTTTTCTTCCTCGTAAAATGTTTGTAAAGTGTAATTTTTAACTATTTTAAATCCATGTAAAGAGGTGGACCACGATGGGATCTTATTTTTAAATATATGGTAGTTAATTACTTCGTTTGAATTGTGCCATATGATGCATGGTTTTTAACCAAAACAACATGGGATTAGCATAAAGTGGGCACGTCTGCAATGGTGAGACTCAGGGGAAGGAGTTATGTTGAGGTCAGAGGTCAAGGGATCCCTTTGAAAACAGCCATACTAGTTTTTCAGTCACCAAAATCTAGATTTTGAAGTATTATTTAGCCTCCTTCCCAACATGCTAGCATGACATGGTCAGTATTAATGGACGCATTAGATCATACAGTTTAATCTGACACCAGTATCTTCACTCCAGCTTTGAAATAACTGAATCAGTCTGGCCGTAAACATAAAGTGTGTCAGTAAATAAACTCCTTCCTCCTTTCCCGTACTCAGATATGCTACGTGCTAGCCTCGTCTACGTTGAAGAGACAATCGCATTTTGAAGATGGTTAAAAGATAAAAGCGACATACAGTCACTTCTATATGATATATACATCTTAAAGTTGGTAGAAAAACGTTAGCTAATTAGTTAGATAACAGTTATGTAGTTTAGTAGATAGTTGGATAGCATTTTGTTAACATTAACTGAGCAAAGATGTGACTATTAGTTATTTTTTCTCTTCTAAAGGGGAACGAGTTGGTACGAGTTTCAGGGGCACTAAACAGAAAGTGTTTGGTGGAAACGCAACCATACAAATGAGACATAACGTCGGTATTTAACGACCTGTGAACGAGAACGGACTGATGAAGATGAGACACATGAACAGACCACACACACACGCCATGTAACACACACACACACACACACACAACCATGTACACAGACAGTAAAGTAACACACACACACACTTCAAACAGTTGAGCTTAGTGGGATCACTGCTGCCCTCTCCTCCCTCCTCTTGACCTTTAACCTCCATCTCTTCATTCTTCCGTCTCGCCGTCGTCTCTGTGCCCGTCTCTGTCTTTCATCTGTCTCACATCCAGTTTTAGCCTTTAGCTGGTTCTCCATCCTGTCTATGTTTTTCCTTTTAACTGCTGAATTACGAGAATAAATCGATTGATCTCATTGCAGACGAACACACAACAATAATATTTTTGTCTGGAGTCAAACTGCACAAATTTAAGTGCAAAATTAACACAAATCTGTCACAAACAGCTTGAATTTAAAAGTTAGCAAGAGATTTAGTTGAACTAAAGTGTACAAAAACAATTCAATTCCATTTTATTTGTATAGCGCCAATTCATAACAAACCTTTTAAAATCGAACAGGACCGTAGTCCTTATAAAATAATGTAGAGCCAACAGTTCCCACCATGAGCAAGCACTTGGCGACAGCGGCAAGGAAAAACATGCAGCAGGCAACACTTTTGTACTTCATTTTAGTTGAGGTATGACTATATGTACTTTTATTTTAAATGATCTATAGACTTTTTACTATATTTATATTCACCACTTACATCCAGCAACTCTACTTGCTAATGTTATATCAGAAATTTCCCCCATTAAACTACATAATTGATTGATTGATTGATTGATTGATTGATTGATTGATTGATTTGGGAGCAGAAAATGATTTTCAGTGCAGCTTTTTGATACTAAACACAAACCAATCACTGAGTGCTAATAGTTATATTTGGTCCTTGTACTATTTAAAGATAAAGGCTGTGCTCAAACATTTAAAAACTTGATGGGATGCATCCCAGCAAAGGTTAATACCAGCTGAAAGCGTTTATATCCTGTGAGCTCAGGTGATCTGAATGAGCTGACGACCCTCCTCATCAGCCAGTTACCTCCTGAGGACTAAACAAAGCCGGAGGAATGACTCTGGTTTTTGTAGCAAATATTAACTGATAAGAAAGATAAAAAACCTTCCCAGAATCAGGATATTTCAGCTTCCACTGAGTCTGGTTGTTGTCTGACAGACTGAATTTACATTTTATGTTCAAACCCAGAAAAGACAAGGAGCTGCTTTATTTTAAATTCATTTCATATAAAAACTAAACAATGAACAAATAGATTATTTCTTCCTCCTATCCTGTACTTAGATATGCTACATGCTAGGCTAATCTATGTTGAAAATACGAACACATTTTGCAGATAAAAGCAACATAAATATGCAGTCACATCTTCAAGTAAGTGGCAAAACATTGGCTAACTAGCGAGCTAATCAACATCAATAGTTAACTAGCCACATAATGTCATTCAATCATTAGTTAGCTAGTTAGCTAATGTTTTGCTTACTTTAACTGATGGTAACGTGGCTAGTTAGCTAATTACATCTGATAGTTAATGTTAGAAAAACACTTGCTAATTTCCATTTTATGTGCAAAAACAAAGACAAAGGACACAGAGCGGCTTTATTTTAAATTATACTTTATTTCATATAAAAACAAAACAATAAACAAATAAATTAGATATTTCTAAAATAATTCTCTTGAGGAAATGTTTAAGAACACTGTGGTTGTTTACAGTTTGTATCTGGGAGAAGAGCAGATAACTGGAATGTAATTAAAGATTCAAAATGTATCCGGACACTTTGTGGGAGTAAATTTTAAGAGCTTCATTCCAAAATGAGACAGAACACACAAGGAGAGACGATACATGAATCCTTCGTTGTCTGATTTTACACACAGGAAGATGCATTTTGGAATGAAACCCTCCATTGGTATTTAAACTCTTGAACACTAGAAAGATAAAAAGGACCAGAGAGTAACGGCAAGATAATACATTTGTTCAGGAGGTGGAAGGAGGCCTCGTCAGACCAGCTTTTATAATAATTAAGGTCAATTAAATCAATATATCAATATAGGTCTCAGTGAACTTCCTCCTTTCCTG